GTGTGTCTTATCATGCATTATTGTATCTTCCAAACACTAGAGCAGCTTTCTCCCCTGAGCTAGAGGGAAAGCATCAGCCCAGTAAAGCATGGCACTGCCCCTACTCAGCCCTTCGTGTTGTAACTAATGTTGTGTGTGGGCACCAGGGGCAACAATCTTTCTCACAGAAAAACAGCTGCAAGCTTAGATGTGTGAACTTCCTTTGTATTCTACACAACTTTCACTAAAGTATGCCAATGTGGCTCCCTTCAGTGTAGACGCAATGGAAAAGTGGATCAGTTGTCACAAAAGAGCCTCCCTGTCCAGCTGGTCTGTGGGATTGTGTCCAGAGCTGTTACCGCTGTGGGAGGTGGCTATGACTTTATAGAGAGAACTAAAGAATAACAAAGCTAACCTGCGTATTACTGATGGCTGGTGTGTAGACAGTGTAGGACCTCCAATTCTCTGTGCACACCTGGGGAAGGGCCCTGGGTTGGAGGCTACTTGACAGGTGTCCTGAATCAAGTCCTGGCTCCTGTTAGTTCCAAAGTTAAGTGGTCAATTTCTCTTTTGTTGTTGTTGGAGTTGGTGATGGTTTTCTCTATGTAGAGATCCTGCCAAAGGTTTTGTTTTCTCAGCAAAGAAAATATCATGTTGAATGAAGAAAATAAGTTAAATAAAAGGATATGGCAATAAATCCATTAAATCTTTTCAACTGAACCCCAAGGACAATTTTCCTTGATTACAATATTTAAACAATCCTAAAAAGACTGTTATTAGTTTTTGTTCTTGACTCTTCAGAATAGAATACCTTACCAGTTTATTCTCAGTTGATTTCTTGTACCCTTTTAACCTCTAAGAAATATTTTCAGATATCGGTCATTTTTTTCCCTTCATAGGTAGACTAAATCTAATATCAAAGCTATTACTCCGCCCAGTGTCTTTGGGACATGATACTTTTGCTGTAGTAGAACAAGAGGTTCCTCAGTTTGAGATTTCGGTGACAAAGTTTTAATGGTGGCAAGTGAGATGCTGGCTTTTCACTGTGAGTGGGAGCCAGTGGAGTGACCTCTCCACCTGGGAGGGCTTCAAGGGGGACATGACATTGGTTTCCAATGACTGAGCAGATAGAGAGTCCCAGGCTTATCCACACTGAGGCAAGTTCCTTGATTAGCGTCTGTTCCCAGCCTTTACCAAGGGTCCGTGCCAGACCTCTCATCCTTTCCAGGTCCTAAGGAATGTCAGGAAATCATTTGAAGGTCTTTTACTCAGTGGGGCAGACTTCCTCTCCCCATCAGAAACAGGCCACCCTGGTTCAATCTTTTATAATCCCGCAGCTTTCTGTTCTCTACAGTAATCACAACTAGAAATACATTATTGTGGTAATTCTAGGGATTAAGAGTGTTCCTGAAATAACCTATATCCTCACAGTAGAAGAGCCCAGGGCACTCCCCTACGTGGCATCTCAGACAGACTAGAAGGCAAGGACTCAAGAAACTGGTCCCCAAATCCCTTGGGACATGCTTGAGCTGTACTTGGAAATTTCTGGCGACCCAAAGTCCCACAGGGTGTTCTGAGAGCAGATGTCCGATTTGGGCACAACCTCAAGCTCTTCTGAGCTGATTTGCATGTTGTATCATTAGACAAAACCCCAGGCTGCTCTTGACATCCTTAAAGGCAGCTGGTCAGGGACCCCAAGGAGCAGTCTCTAGTCCAGCTCTCTGAGATGGGGTCTGGGACTCCCCTGCTGTGGATCCTGATGCTCTGGTCTCCAGGTGAGAGGGGGGCACACTGAGAAATGGTGGGTAAACTCACTCTGGCCACGATGCTTTCAGTGTGTTTGGGTTCCTGGTGGCTGGAATTCAAGCATTTGGCATGGGGTTCCAGTTGCCCAGTTCCTTCCGTTTTCTGGTTCCTCAGAGTGTTGTCCATGACTTTGAGTACAAAGTCATCAGTGCTGTGGGCCTCCACTAAGATGCTCTCAGGACCTCTGTCAAATTTGTTGTGTTTCTCATTCCAGGCTGCACTGGGGACATTTTGCTAACCCAGTCTCCAGCCTCTTTGACCATGTCTCCAGCCTCTTTGACCATGTCTCCAGGGCAGAAGGCCACCATCTCTTGCAAGGCGAGTCAGAAAGTCGGTGACATTTTGGGCATTACACACTATATTACGTGGTATCAACAAAAATCAGGACAGCATCCGAGAATGCTGATTTATAAAGCATCCAGTCAAGCTTCTGGGGTCCCGGCCCGGTTCAGTGGCAGTGGGTCTGGGACTGAATTCAGTCTCATGATTGATCCCGTGGAGGAGGGCAATGCTGCCTGTTATTACTGCAAGCAGAGCAAGGAGACACCTCCCACGGTGCTCTGGGTCTAAACAAAAACCTCCCCAGGCGGCTGCTCAATCATTTCAATGAAGAAAAACCAGCCTTCAACTGCCAGAACTGTCAGCTCTCTATCTTTCAGATACAGCCTGATCTTCTCACATTAATTTGGATTTTTAACTTCTCCTATTTGCTTGAGCTCACACAAAGATCTCTGTAGTTGTTCAGCAACTTAAGAATTGTGATGTAGTTACTTTTCATTTTTTTGATGAAGATTTTTCTATCTTTGTGTCTTTTTTTTAAAAGAAAATTCTCTCATTTTGAAGGACCAAGAATAGGAAGGGTTAGTTAAAGCCTCAGCATAAACAAGGGGAAGACCATGGAGTTGAGGGTCTATATCTGGGCTCTCTACTCTGTTCCACTGGTCTATGTGTCTGTTTTTATGCCAGTACCATGCTGTCTTGGTGATCACAGCTTTGTAGTAAAGCTTGAAATCAGGTAACATGATGCCACCAGTTTTATTTTTTTCAACATTTCCTTAGCGATTCGGGGTCTCTTCTGATTCCATACAAATTTTAGGATTCTTTGCTCCAGCTCTTTGAAAAATACCGGTGGAATTTTGATCAGAATGACATTAAAAGTATAGATTGCTCTAGGCAGTATAGACATTTTAACAATGTTTATTCTTCCGATCCAAGAGCATGGAATGGTCTTCCATCTTTTTGTGTCTTCTTCAATATCTTTCATGAGTGTTCTGTAGTTCCTCGAGTACACATCCTTTACCTCTTTGGTTAGGTTTATTCCCAGGTATCTTATGGTTCTTGGTGCTATAGTAAATGGAATTGATTCTCTAATTTCCCTTTCTGTATTTTCATTGTTAATGTATAAGAAAGCCACTGATTTCCGTACATTGACTTTGTATCCTGCCACGTTACTGAATTGCTGTAAGAGTTCTAGTAGTTTGGGGGTGGAGTCTTTTGGGTTTTCCATATAAAGAATCATATCATCTGTGAAGAGAGCGAGTTTGACTTCTTCATTGCCAATTTGGATACCTTTTATTTCTCTTTGTAGTCTGATTGCTGTTGCTAGGACTTCTAATACTATGTTGAACAAGAGTGGTGAGAGTGGGCATCCTTGTTGTGTTCCTGATCTCAACGGAAGGCTGTGAGCTTTTTCCCATTGAGGATGATATCTGCTGTGGGTCTTTCATAGATAGATTTTATGAAGTTCAGGAATGTTCCCTCTAGCCCTATACTTTGAAGAGTTTTAATCAGGAACGGATGCTGGGTTTTGTCAAATGCTTTTTCTGCATCAATTGAGAGGACCATGTGGTTCTTCTCTCTTCTCTTATTGATTTTTTTTTCTATTACATTGATTGATTTATGAATGTTGAACCATCCTTGTAACCCAGGGATGAATCCCACCTGGGCATGGTGGATAATCTTTCTTTTTTTTAAAGATTTTATTTATTTATTTAAGAGACAGAGATCACAAGTAGGAAGAGAGGCAGGCAGAGAGAGAGAGAGGAAGAAGCAGGCTCCCTGTGGCCCAGAGAGCCCAATGCAGGGCTCGATCCCAGGATGCTGGGATCATGACCTGAGCCGAAAGCAGTGGCTTTAACCCACTGAGCCACCCAGGCACCCCGTGGATAATCTTTTTAATGTGCTGTTGGATCCTGTTTGTTAGGATCTTGTTGAGAATCTTAGCATCCATATTCATCAGTGATATTGGTTTGAAATTCTCCTTTTTGGTGTGGTCTTTGCCTGGTTTGGGGATCAGGGTAATGCTGGCTTCATAAAAAGAATCTGAAAGTTTTCCTTCTGCTTCAATTTTCTGAAACAGCTTCAGGAGAATAGGTGTTAATTCTTCTTTGAAAGTCTGGTAGAATTCCCCAGGAAATCCGTCAGGTCCTGGGCTCTTGTTTTTTGGGAGGTTTTTGATCACTGCTTCAACCTCGTTACTAGATATAGGTCTATTCAGGTTGTCAATTTCTTCCTGGTTCAATTTTGGGAGTTTATAGTTTTCCAGGAATGCATCCATTTCATCTAGGTTGCTTAGCTTATTGGCATATAACTGTTGATAATAACTTCCAATGATTGTTTCTGCTTCCTTGGTGTTAGTTGTGATCTCTCCCTTTTCATTCATAATTTTAATTTCTCTCTTTTCTTTTGGATTAGTGTGGCCAATGGTTTATCAATCTTATTGATTCTTTCAAAAAACCAGCTTCTAATTTCATTGATACGTTCTACTGTATCTCTAGTTTCTACCTCATTGATTTCTTCTCTAATCTTGATTATTTCCCTTCTTGTGTGTGGAGTTGGTTTAATTTGTTGTTGATTCTCCAGTTCTTTAAGGTGTAGAGACAGTTGGTGTATTCTGGATTTTTCAATTTTTTTTTTAGGAGGCTTGGATGGCTATGTATTTCACCCTTGGGACCGCCTTTGTTGTATCCCATAGGTTTTGGACCGAAGTGTCTTTATTCTCATTGGTTTCCATGAATTGTTTCATGTCTTCTTTGATCTCCTGGTTGATCCAAGCATTCTTAAGCAAGGTGGTTCCAGGTGTTCGAGTTCCTTCCAAACTTTTCCTTGTGATTGAGCTCCAGTTTCAAAGCATTGTGATCTGAGAATATGCAGGGAATAATCTCAGTCTTTTGGTATCGATTGAGTCCTGATTTGTGACCCAGTATGTGGTCTATTCTGGAGAAGGTTCCATGTGCACTTGAGAAGAATGAGTATTCTGTTGTTTTAGGGTGGGATGTTCTGTATATATCTATGAGGTCCATCTGGTCCAATGTGTCATTCAATGCTCTTGTTTCTTTATTGATTTTCTGCTTGGATGATCTGTCTATTACTGAGAGAGGCCTGTTAAGATATCCTACAATTAATGTATTCATATCAATATGACTCTTTATCTTGATTAATAGTTTTCTTATGAAATTGGCTGCTCCTATATTGGGGGCATAGATATTTACAATTGTTAGACCATCTTGGTGGATAGTCCCTTTAAGAATTATGTAGTGTCCTTCTTTATCTCTGACTACAGTCTTTAGTTCAAAATCTAATTTATCTGATATGAGAATCACTACCCTGGCCTTCTTTTGAGGCCCATTGGCATGAAAGATGCTTCTCCATCCCTTCACTTTCAGTCTGGGTGTATCCTTAGGTTCGAAATGGATCTCTTGTAGACAACATATGGATGGGTACTGTCATTTTATCCAATCTGCAACCCTGTGTTGTTTTATAGGCGCATTTAGGCCATTCACATTGAGAGTGATTATTGATAGATACATTTTATTGATATCATGTTACCTTTGAAGTCTTTCTTTCTGTAGATTGTCTCTATATTTCTGTTCAGTGATATTCTTAGAATTTTTCCTCTTTTACAGAATCCCCCCTTAATATTTCCTGCATTGTTGGCTTGGTGGTTGCATAGTCTTTTAAGCCTTGCCGGTCTTGGAAACTCTTTATCTCTCCATCCATTTTGAATGTCAGTCTTGCTGGATAAAGTATTCTTGGCTGCATGTTCTTCTCATTTAGTGCCCTGAATATATCTTGCCAGCCCTTTCTGGCTTCCCAGGTCTCTGTGGACAGGTCTGATGTTATTCTGATGGGCTTTCCTCTGTATGTAAGGAGCGTCTTTGTCCTAGCTGCCTTCAAGAGGGACTGCCTACAATTATAATTCCTCATTCTTACTATTAGGTATCTCGAGGACTTTCGAGAGTCTATAATCTTTGGAGGAGACCGCTCTACCTCTAGTACATGAACGCTGGTTCCATTCACAATATTGGGAAAATTTTCATGTAGAACTTGTTCCACTACATCTTCTGGACTTCTTTCTTCCTCCTCCCTTTCAGGGATTCCAATAATTCTGACGTTGGAACATTTGATGGCATCATTTATTTCCCTGATTCTGTTTTTGTGGCTTCTAAGCTGTTTGTTCCTGGCTTTCTCCTGATCCTTTCTCTCTGTTTGTCCTCCAGATCACTAATTCTATCTTCTGTCTCAGTTACCCTAGCTTTGAGAGAATTTAGATTAGATTGGAACTCATTGAGAGCATTGTGAACATCATCCCTGATGGTTTTCAGTTCTGCCCTAATCAATTCTGTTTTATCATCCATGGCTTTCTCCAACCTAGCTATTGCCTGGATAATTGTTAGCCTGAATTCCCTTTCCGACATATTCTCTATGTTGATAGCCATTAGCTCTGTTGCAGAAGGTCCATCCTCTGAATTTTTTGTCTGTTGGGCATTCCTCCTCCTAGTCATTTTGGTGAGAGATGGCTGAATGGACGTAGCTGGATATATCGACTGTGGTGCAGTCAAGGTCCACCCTGGAATGCTTCTGAGCAATCAGGAGTCCCCACCGAAATGAAAGAAAAAAGAAAGAGAAAAAAGGGAAAAAAAAGAGATAGAGAGACAGAGAGAGGAAAAAAAAAAGAAAGATAAAAGAGAACGCTCAGCCCAAATGGTACACTTACCCACAAGGTAAGATTTATGAAGTATACAAACAAAAACAGACAAACAAAAAGACTGATAAAAGTATATGACAAGAGAAATATATATATATATATATATATATATATATATAAAGAACCTCATCAAAAAAAAAAAAAAAAGAAAAACCCAAGAGTAAGATTTATATACTATCAGAAAAACACAAATACACAGAAACACTGGTGAAAGAAAAAGATGGGAGAGTGGTTATAAATTCTCAGTGTGGGCGAGGAAGGTTATTTTGATTCTTCTTGGATGTACCTTGATATCTTTGTTAAAGGACTCAACTTTCCTAAGATAAAGGGGGATTAAAAATTTGTTTACCTATAGGGATAGCATTGATTGGGTAAAGGGGATTACCTTGAAGTTTAACTCTATATGAATATTAAAAAATAAAAATAAAAAAGAATAAACTAAACTAAAATAAAATTTTAAAAAATTAAAAAATAGAAAAGCAAAAGAAAAACATGGATATATGTATCAAAAAGTTCAGGTTAAAGGTTATTATGTAATGTGATGTACTGGACATCTCACTGTGATGGTAAATAGGTTAAAAAATTATCTATATAAAAAAAATGAACCAGAATAGTGGGAATGAATTAAAAATAAAAGTTGTATCTATGGTTGTACTCTTCTTGTCTTCCCCCC